GGTCGCCTGCCCAACAGCAGCCGCTGTCGCTCTTGGGCAGTATTTGCTGCTGGGCATCGCGCCCATGCTTTCCGTACCCGCTCGGGCGCCCGAGTTTCCGTCCGAGGGCCGCTTTCGGAGGAGCGGCCACCGTTCTGCTCAGCAAGGCCCACGGGGCGGAAAGCGGACACGTCTGCTGCGTGGCACGTGCGGCTTTCGCTCGCTCCCGGCAAGGTGGTAAGTCCAGCGGCTGGAACAGCGACTGGAACAGCTGGGGAGGCGCCTGCCCTGGCCGGCTGTGCACATGCGATCCAGTCATGCTGGGACCTTGCCCCCCCCCCACCTACCCACCCTCGCCTCTTCTTCTTGCAGCCTCCCCTCCCACCTTTCGCCCACGAGCCGCCTCCACCTCTCCCCCCGCGCAGCAGAAGGGCGGGAGCAGAGGCGCGGGGGCGGGAGACGCGACGGGGAGGGGGATAGGGGGGCAGGAGGGGGGGGCCGGACGGGAGGGCCGCGCTCGGCGCAGGCCGCCGCGGGGAGGGCACAGATGCTTCTGGGCGGCTGTGCACCAGGCGAAGCCCCTGCTCGGGCCGCACCGCCTCGCACCACCGCCCGCTCACATTCAGGAGGGGAGAAAAACACACAGACACAATTAAGTGTCGATCCCCAGGAAGCAGTTGGAAAATATGGGAAGTGGGGGGGAAGACAAAAATCCTGGAAATATAGGTAAATATGGGGAATTTTTTTATTTGTGTGTATTTATTTGTGTGCTTGTGGGCCCCTTCACACATTCCCGCCTCCTGTGCTCTCCCTCCCTGCCGCGCCACGCCGCCGCGCGCGACCTTCTGGCAGCCGGCGGGCCGGCGCTCGCTCCGCCTGCCCCCGCCCCCCCTCCCCCCCACACGTCGGCGACCTGGATCCGTCACGTGAGGCGCCTCGGATGTTAAGGCCCAGTGAAGCGACGCCCGAGTTCGTTCAGTGCGTCGCCCGTGCGCCGGCCCTGGTTTGCGTCTCTGTCCCGAATCCCGGCCTCCCAGAGTGCGTGGGCGACGTTGGCGCGACTTTGGAATTTCTCTGGCGATATATAGGTTTCCGACGGCGGTGCAGCAGCAGCCATTTTGGCGGTCGCGGCGCACTCTAGTTCGACGGTCCACCAACGCGTTCTGTTTCCAATTCGGCGCAAGAGGATTTGCTGGTGCGCATTGTCGGGGGCGCCAACCGTTGCTGAGGACGAAGACGCCTCGCGTTGATTGTGGGCTGTGCGTGTCGCGCCACGGCGGGGGTGACGTCACGTCGCGCGACGCTGCGCCACTTCGCCCCGTCGCGTCGCGCCCCGCACCCCCATGTCGTTTCGCGCGAATCCTCCTGCCCCCCTTCCTTTTCCCCTCGTCCAGCGCGCTGCGCGTTTTGTCCCGTTTGCGAAATTTGTATTCAGTTCTCTCGTGTTAGGCTGCCGTCCTGTCCGCCTCCCTACTCACCCCCTGTTGTCCTTTCACCTTCCTGGAACTTCTTCTCGCCCTCCTCGCTCCCGCCGCCCTCCTTCGATCGCCTTCCATCGCTCCCGCCGCCGCTGCGCCGCCCCCGCGCGCCTCCTCCTCGCCCGTCCGTTCCCATTTCCGCCCGCCCTTCCCTCGCCTCACTTCCATCCTCCTTTTCCCCCCCAATGCATCGGCGGGCGAGACGTCGCCAAATTGCTGCAGCGACGGACCGATGTTCAAAATCTGACGGGGCGTGTGCTTGAAATGGATTAGTCCGTGCGCGCTGCATCTCCATGTCGTCTATTGGTATCCTCGCGTTCGTAGTTCTCGCGTGCGTGTCTCGCTATTTCTACGATTGCCGCGCGCATCCCTTGATTGTTTCGCCAGCGGGCCGTGCAGTTCACATGCCGTCAGAAGTCCACGGCGCCCTTCGAGCGATTCGCGCGCGACTTGCGCGCGACGCGCGAATGACCCGAGCGACGCCCGCGCGACGCACGCGCGACGCGCGCGCGACGCACCCCGACCCGCGCGCGACGCACCCCTGCCAGCGCGCGACGCACGAGCGACCCGCGCGACGCACGCGCGACGCACGCGCCACGCGCGCGCAGCAAGCGCGACGCACGCGCGACGCGCGCGCGACGCACGCGCGACGCACGCGCGACGCATGCGCGACGCAGTCGCGACTTTGCCTACCCCTAGCATTTCTCCGAGCAGCAATGCGCAACGGCCGTCGGCCCGCCGTGCTTGCGCTGTTCACATGTGGCGGCGGCTGCGTCCTCCATTGCGCCACGAAGGGCGGTGCTTGCCCCTGTTATTTCCGTTTTCCTTCCTCGTCGTCTCTCTTCTTTCGTCATTCCTCCTCCTTCGTCCTCTCTCCTGCCTCGTCTCCCTCTCTCCTCCTCCTCCTCCTCCTCCTCCTCTTCCTCCTCCTCCTCCTCCTCCTCCTCCTCCTCCTCCTCCTCCTCCTTTCTGCCGGCCTCCCTCTGTCTGTCCCTCCCCCCTCCTCTCTCGTCTTTGATTTTTTCCCTTGCCACCCCCCGTCCCTTTTCATTTTCTGTTTCTCCTTCGGCCCCCCTTCTACGGCCGCGGCGCGTCGCCGCGAGCGGCGCCCCCGCCTTCCGCGAGCGGCCCCGCCGCTGGCCGTGGACGAGAAAAATTACGAGGAGGAAAGGATGGGGGGGGGCAGGGGCGCGAGGCGGGCGCGGCGGCAAGGGCGGCCCGGTAGGGGAATGGGGGGAGAGCGGGGGGGGACGGAGTGGGCGGGTGCTTCTGTAATGGTCGTGTTGGTGATTGTCGTCGTGGTCGCGTTCGTCGCCTTGGTCGCGCCGTCGGCGGTCGCGCCGCTGGTGGTGGGCGGGCTGGTGGTGGTCGCGTCGGTGATCGTGCTAGTGTCGATCGTTGTGGTGGTCGCGAGAAGCGCGGTGGTCGTGGTGGTGGTGATGGCGGTAAATGGTGTTGGTCGTAATCGTCGCGGTGGATGTGGTTGCGGTCGCATCCGTTTGTGGTGATCGTGGCGGTGATAGTTTTGGTGCTGGCGGCGGTTGCGGCGGCTGTGGCGGCGGCTGCGGGGACCTGCTGGCCTATCGCCGGGGTGCGTTCAGCAGCATCGCTGCATTTGGAATGCTCGAGGGATTTGCTGATCTGCCGATGTAGCCCAGCGGCCGCCTTCTTCTCGCCGAGAGGGCCGCAGCGTGGGCGACTTTCTTTTTCCCGAAGGCGACCGGCCTTTTCAGCGGCCGTGGAGAGGGCGACGCGCGTGCGATCCGCCCCGTGGGTGTCCGCCGCGCTGGCGACACACTCACCACATTGCCCCCTTGCGAGGGCGACGTGCGCGTTCGAGAGGGCGGCTGGCCTTTTCGGCGGCCGACGCACGGGCGGCGCACGGGCGACGAATGCGCGCCGCACCTCCTGTCGCGAAGGGGGGGGGTCAGCACGCCGGTCGCTTTACTGGGCTTAACAGCTTCGGAGGAGGAGGAGGAGGAGGAGGGAGGAGGAGGAGGAGGAGGAGAGAGGAGGAGGAGGAGGAGGATTTAGGAGGAGGACGAGGAGGAGGAGGAGGAGAAGAAGGAGGATAAGGAGGAGGAGGATAGAAGGAGGAGGAGGAGGAGGGGGAGGAGGGAGGATCGGAGGAGGAGGAGGAGGAGGAGGAGGAGGAGGAGGAAGAGGAGGAGGAGGAGGAGGAGAGGAGGAGGAGGAGGAGGAGGAGGAGGAGGAGGAGGAGGAGGAGGAGGGATAGGAGGAGGAGGAGGGGGAGGAGGAGGAGGAGGAGGAGGAGGGAGGAGGCAGAGGAGGAGGAGGAAGGAGGAGGAGGAGGAGGAGGAGGAGGAGGAGGAGGAGGAGGAGGAGGAGGAGGAGGAGGGAAGAGGGAGAGGATAGGAGGAGGAAGAGGAGGGGGATTCGGTGGTCCGGGGGGGGGGGAACTTCGCACCCCGTGACGAGATCCCCCCCGCGCGCGCCGCCTGCTCCGCTGCGCCTCCGCGCCGCGCTGCACCGCGCCGCGTCTGCTGCTCCCACCGCACCGGGGGGCCTCCGGGCCCCGCGGGGCGGGGGTGCGGGCCCCCGCTGCGGGGAGGGGCGCCGGCCGAGGCGGGCGGCGCCCCTCCTGGGTGGGACCGGGGCCGCGCCCTCGGCCCCCCCCCCCCCCTCCCAGTCTTCCCCCGTCCCCGTCCCCCCCCCCATCAAGGGGTCGCCTCGTGTGCTTCCCATTTCGTGTCCGACGTTCGGTCGTACGCCCTTCCCTTTTTTGACTGTTTTGTTGGGGGGCTCTTGGTTTATATGTATGCATGTATGTATATATGTATGGATGGATGGATGTGTGTGTGTGTGTGTCTGTCTGTATGTCTGTTTGTCTGTCTGTCTGTCTGTCTGTCTGTCTGTACGGATGGATGGATGGATGGATGGATGGATTGGGTTGGATGGATGGACGGATGGATTGGTATGTCTGTAGTATATATATATATGTTTACATGTATGTGTGTATGTATGCATGCATGCATGCCTGCACGCATGTATACATAATCTATAAGGTGTTGGCAAGTACACCAGTTCCCTGCCGCCCTGGTAGATCCCAGGGCAGCCAACCGCTCCAGTCACCTGTGACGTACCAGCGGTCAGCTTAGAGCTTCGAGTGGGGGGGGGGGCCTCGTCCTTCCCTCGTGCTCGTTGTCCCCCTCACCCGTGGTCGCGGAAGGATCCGTGCACCTTGAGTGGTGCAGTTGGGTGGAAGTCAGCGATGGGACTGCTTTCTCCTGATTGTACGCTCGGCCTGCCATTGTGCCAAAGCGTTCGTCTGGGGTATCGCCTTGGAGTGCTATGAGGCGGCAGATGAAGCTGTCTGCAATGTGTTGCGCTCGCAGATGCTGTTGCCGCGCCTTTTCCGTGCCCGCGCCCACAGCGATCATGCTCTGGACCTTGCGGTTGCGTTTCTGGGTGAGCCATCTTTTTGAAAATCTTTCTGTCGGGGATCGTATTTCATCTTCTCTGTCGCCCTTCTTCTTGCTTCTTGTCCTCATTCGTGTTCGAACACGTTTTTCCCAACCATCCTGTGGTGTTGGGTCCTCGTTTTGAAGAGACGGTGCCCGCGTCCTCTCCTCTCCTCCTCTTCCCCCTCCTCCCTCCTCCCCCTCCTTGCCTCTGCTCTCGGCACACCTCTCCTCCTCCTGCTCTCCCCCACACCTCACCTCGCGTTTCGTAGCCCAATAGGGAGTCTCCGAAGGCCCCAGTGGGGGTGTCCACATGCGGTTCCCCCACCCAGGGCAGCGTTTCGTCTTAGGGAGCTTCACCGTAGGCCCCAGTGGGGGTGTCCACATGCGGTTCCCCCACCCAGGGCAACGCTTTTCGTGGCCCCATAGGGTCCACCGTAGGCCCAGTGGGGCCTGCCGCATGCGGTTGTTCCCCCCCCCCAGGGCAGCGTTTCGTAGCCCCAGAGGGAGCTCCACCGAAGGCCCCAGTGGGGGTGTCCACATGCGGTTCCCCCACCCAGGGCAGCGTTTCGTAGCCCCAGAGGGAGCTCCACCGAAGGCCCCAGTGGGGGTGTCCACATGCGGTTCCCCCACCCAGGGCAGCGTTTCGTAGCCCCATAGGGAGCTCCACCGAAGGCCCCAGTGGGGGTGTCCACATGCGGTTCCCCCACCCAGGGCAGCGTTTCGTAGCCCCATAGGGAGCTCCACCGAAGGCCCCAGTGGGGGTGTCCACATGCGGTTCCCCCACCCAGGGCAGCGTTTCGTAGCCCCATAGGGAGCTCCACCGAAGGCCCCAGTGGGGGTGTCCACATGCGGTTCCCCCACCCATGGCAGCGTTTCGTAGCCCCATAGGGAGCTCCACCGAAGGCCCCAGTGGGGGTGTCCACATGCGGTTCCCCCACCCAGGGCAGCGTTTTCGTAGCCCCATAGGGAGCTCCACCGAAGGCCCCAGTGGGGGTGTCCACATGCGGTTCCCCCACCCAGGGCAACGTTTCGTGGCCCCATAGGGAGCTCCACCGTAGGCCCCAGTGGGGCTGCCGCATGCGGTCCCCCCCCACACAGGGCAGCGTTTCGTAGCCCCATAGGGAGCTCCACCGAAGGCCCCAGTTGGGGTGCCCGCGTGCGGTTCCCCCACCCAGGGCAGCGTTTCGTGGCCCCATAGGGAGCTCCACCGAAGGCCCCAGTGGGGGTGCCCGCATGCGGTTCCCCCACCCAGGGCAGCTTTTCGTAGCCCCATAGGGAGCTCCACCGAAGGCCCCAGTGGGGGTATTCGCATGCGTCTCCCCTACCCAGAGGTAGCGCCACCGAAAACGATATTCATATTTGCAATATTCACAACTGCATATGGTTGGGTCCTTCGCCAGGCTAATTTTGTTTGTTTTTGTTCTGGCGTCGCTTCAAGTCACTGGCGTCGCTTCAAGTCATGTCGATTGCCTCTCGTTGCAAGTCATATTTCACATTAAAACGATGATCGCCAAGAGAGCACTCGATTGGAGCAGTGCGCAGTGACATCTGAAGATCTGTCCCGAATATCTTGGTTGGGTTTGGCGGAGACATCAGAAGAACAAGAGACCGAGGCGCAGCGCTCAGAAAGCAGATGAGACCGCAGGGACGGCCCCCCCAAGAGTTTCCTCGCAGCCGCATGAGTCAGGGGCATCGCTCGGGGGGATGGGCTCAGGGGGGATGCATTGACCCCCAATCGCCCCTTCGTTGCCCGTAAGGGCCCGATGGCCCACCCCCCGCCCAGGAACGTGCGGATCCGACATCGCGGGCCCATCGCCGACCTGTCGGCCACGTATCTCCGATTCCAGGTTAATGCCCCCCCCCCTGAGCCAGTCTCCCCTGACGTCCTCCTCCTCCTCCTCCTGCTCCTCCTCCTCCTCCCTCCTCCTTCTCCTCCTCCTCCTCCTCCTCCTCTCCTATCCTCCTCCTCCTCCTCCCTCCTCTCCTCCTCCTCCTCTTCCTCCTCCCTCCTCCTCCCTCCTCCTCCTCCTCTCTCCTCCTCCTCCTCCTCCTCCTCTCCTCCTCCTCCTCCTCCTCCTCCTCCTCTCCTCCTCCTCCTCCCTCCTCCTCCTCCCTCCTCCTCCTCCTCCTTCTCCTCCTCCTCCTCCTCCTCCTCCTCCTCCTCCTCCTCCTCCTCCTCCTCCCCCTCACAGGGCCAATCGCCACGTGAGCGACGCCAGACAGCGGGGCCGTCGTCGCCGACACTGGCGCGCGCACGCTGACTGCGCAACATAGGCGCGCAAGAGCCCTCGCCTCCGATGGAACGGTGCTGCGCCGGCGGCCCCGCGTCGGGCATCGTGTGAGGCCCCTACTCCTCAAATTACCTAACAGCGAAAACTGATATGCTTCTAGTGGGCTCAAAGGAGAGCATCTTGACTCCCCATGGGGGGTCTGGGCGGATGCTTCCAGATATGCTTATACACATCGCTGTTAGGTTGCTTTGCCGAGATAATTTTGTCTGTGTGCCGCACCCTCCCCCCCGCCCGAGTGTCAGATTCCACCGCCCGGGGCCACGTTCAGTACACACAAAACATACGCCCCAGGGAGGGATTTTTTTGTACACCGAACCTGCGACCAGGACCCTCGCCCACCCTCCAGGGCTTTGGGGTATAGCACACCACGTCCCCGGGCGGACCCATGCCATCATGCGTACGGCCCGCCGTGACAGACTGCGGTGCCGGACGCTCTGGGACGCCCTGCGGCAGCGCTGGGGGCGCGCTGGGCGGGGAGGAGCGTTACGTGATGGGGGGGTGGGGGAGGGGGGGGGGAGAGAGGGGGGGGCATGACGCGCGTCGTGGCCCAGAGGGTCCACAAAAGCACGCTCGCAAGGCCCGCTCCGACTCCCCTACGCCTCGCGGGGGGGCGGAGGCGGCACCGAGCGGGCCCGATGGCGCGATGGGAGCGCCCCCTGCGCGTCGCAGCGCGCCCCCCTGGCCGCCCGGCCTGCCCCCGCCGCGCCCGGGTCGCGCGCCCTCGCCGCCCTCGAGGGGCCCGCCCTCGAGGAGCACCTCGGGGGCGGCGATCGAGCCGGCGCGGCGCGCGGGCCCCCGGAGCTGCGCGCGCCGGCGTCGGGCCCGCCGCGGCGCGCCCTCTGTGCCCCCGCGGCAGCGGTGCTGCGCTGGCCTGCGCTCCGCCCCGTTTCCCGCTCGATCGTCCTCCGCGCTCCCCCCTCTCGATCCTCGTTTCCCCTCCACCCTCCCCCTCGATCTTCCTCGGCCCCCCCTCCTCGCTCCTCCCTTGGCCTCGACCCTCCCTCTCGATCTTCCTCCACGATCCTTCCTCCCCCGTCGACCCTCCCCCGTCGATCCTCTTCGAAATTCCCTCCCGATCCTCACCTTTGAGCCTCCTCGGCGCTCCTCCATCGATCCTCGCTGCCGTCGGCTCCGCGACCGCCCTGCGGACGTCGTCGTTGGCATATCGCGGTCGGCGGCCCGCCCAGGCTCGGGCAGCAAAGGCGGCAAGGGCGGCAAGGGCGGCGACCCCGCGGGCCAAGGACCCTGGGGGGCTTTGGGGTCGACGGCGTCGAGGGTCGAGGATGCGGAGGATCGAGGAGGAGGAGGAGGCGGAGGAGGAAGAGGAGGAGGAGGAGGAGGAGGAGGAGGAGGAGGAGGAGGATCGATGAGGAGGAGGAGGAGGCGAAGGCGTAGGCGTAGGCGGAGGCGGATGCGGAGGCGGAGCCGGAAGCGGCGGCGGCGGCGGAGGAGGAGGAGCAGCAGGAAGAGGAGGAGGAGGAGGAGGAGGAGGAGGAGGAGGAGGAAATGAGAGGAGAGGAGATGAGAGGAGAGGAGAATGGGGGAGAGGAGAGGGGGAGGGAGAGGGGGACGGGGAAAGGGAGGAGGAGGAGGAGGAGGAGGAGGAGGAGGAGGAGGACGAGGACGAAGAGGAGGAGGAGGAGGAGGAGGAGGAAGAGGAAGAGGAGGAGGGGGAAAAGGAAGAGGAGGCGGAGGCGGAGGAGGAGGAGGAGGAGGAAAAGGAGGAGGAGGAGGAGCACCGGCGTATCCGCCCGAGGCCAGTGGGAACAGGTCCCAGGCCCCCCGCGGCGGAGCCCAGGCGAGGCGCCAAGGCAGCCCGCGCGCCCCGGCCATAGTCGGGGGGGCGGCACCCCCCTGCGCCCTGCAGCAGGCAGCAAGGCGGCGCCGGGCGGCAGGAGGCCAGGCACATCAGCAAGGTAAAAAGGCAGCGCTCTCCAGCCTGGCACAGGAGACGTAGAAGAACCAGGGCGATTGTTCGAGTTCTATCAAGGTTAGGAGCTGCAACCAGAGAGCGACGTGAACATCATTACAGAACAGCATGGCATCCAACCGAAAGGGAAAACTCCCAGGTATGAGGAGGTTCTCGACATCGTTGGCAGTCAAGAGCAAGGGCGCAGGCAAGGCACTCAGGACGATGGACTTGTACAAACTGTGGATGTACCAACCCATCATCAGCCAATCCGTGTTCTTGCGAGACGCCGCCATATCTGGAGAGAAGGCTTGCGACGTCAACCCAGAAGAAGGATGCAGCAATCCCGAAGCATCAAGGGTTTCCGTGGCACCAAAGCAGAATCAAAGGACGAGCCCCGCCCAAACGATATCCAGCTGTCCAGAAGTTCATTGACATGACCCCCATGGCAACTCGAGAAGAAGCAGAAACTACAACATAATCTGAAGAGCCATCGACAGATAGCAGTCTGAGTCGGCCGACCAGATTCAATATGTATGCCAAACAGACTCTGCTGGCCATGGCAGTCATACATTCGCAGAAGCGGACATCAGCATTGCGGAATCTAGGCACCAGATAGCCATGATCAAGTACATTCTGGACATCATGAAGCCTGCAGCGACCAGAGTGGATGGCCACAGAAACAGCGTGGATCGGTGGAGAGATGCCATCGAGGGCCTTTTCAAAGAAATGATCGCGGTCGGCTGCAGGATCGGGGAAGCTTGCGCGCAGCTCGACCGCGGCTCGCACGCGTTACGAGACGCCATGAGAGACAGAGATGGAGAGGAGAACGAGATCATGGCAGCTCAGCCAAAACTATCAGCATAACAGCCCCCCTCGTTGCAGCGGAAGACGGACGCATCCAGCTGGCGAGAGGCCGCAGCAGGATCTCAGTTAGAGCAATGCCGAGGCACCGAACAACCAGCGCACGGCGCAACAGATCAGCCAGCCCATGGAAATCATTGCGGCGCAGCCGGTGCAGAACGGCATGTTTCAGAAGAGTCTGAGTGACATGCAGGCCGAGAGCCAGAGCCGGAAGGTCTGCTGCGAGCAGCAGGCGCAGTGCCAGCGGCGCTGCATGCAGATGGTGATTCAGGAGGCGCACGCCTGAAATCCAGGCGACCAAGCTGCAGAGGGCAATGGGCATCAAGGAGGGTTCTCGCCAACAGCGCACCGTCGGAGGACTTGTTCGACGCGCAGTGGCGCGCCCAGGTCACGCAGCTCAGAGAATGGCTAAAGAAGAGCCTGTGAGCAGCAGCCCATGCGCGCGTCGAGGCGGCGGAAGCTGGGCTGCTCAGCGCGGTCGACGCCAGCCAGGAAGCCGAGCCAGAAGAAGTCGCTGACATGGGCGCAGGCAGCGCGGGCAAGGAACCCAGCGCGCTCGCGGGCGTCGCCCGGCAGCTCGGCGGCCTGAGGTTATCTCCCAGACTTGCGCCAGCAGCCCAGGCAGCCAAGGGCAGAGACGAACGCGAGGACTGGGGCGAATATCAGGCGAAGCTCTAATAAGGTCGGATGCAACGTGCGCGATGGCCTACCCGCAGCCCGCTGGGCAGCGCAGCAACCAGGAAAGCAACGGAGGAAGGCGCATGATGATGAATTTCTAGAACCAGCACAGGTAACACCGCAGGATTAGCATCTACCGAATCCGTTCTTAATGACGAAGATGGCCGAGCACGTGGAGTACACGAACACCTAGTTCGCGGCGGCACTCAAGCATGATATTGTCTCAGATACGGACTCGCCAGGTGCGCCGACTGCACCGGCGTTGCCAGCGGACAGTCCAAATCCACCAGCATCGGCAAGGCTAGCGCCCGAAACAAGATCGATTTCGCCGACGCAGCCAATGGAGCCGCGACGGCATCCGCAGCACAAAGGAGACAGCACACCGAGGGGTACGGTAAGGGCGCGCAGGACATCCAGGACCAAAGAGACACCGCGCAGAACCAGGACCCGCTCATCCGAGCAAGAACAAGATGATGGGGGAGAACGGCCAGCCCGCCAACGACCGCCAGAGCGTCGCCGCATCGCAGATGGAGGCGCACCGCCGCGAGGACAAGAGCGAACCCAATCACTACCACGGTTTGGGATTCAGGAGCGCATGTGTCGACCCGGTGGAGACCCAGGCAGCTCGGCTTCCTCGTCGTCAGACGTCCGCAGCTAGCTCGCATCGCTCGCAGGTCGATGCCCCCCTTCGGCAGGTCCCCCAACTCAGTCGCCGCCGACGGGGGGATCGACGGCGCTCTGGCCCGCCGCTAAAAGGCCAAGACGGGTCAATTTTGGACCCTGCGCATGTAGATTTTATCCTGGAAGCACCGGTGCCATAAGGCGCGAAGCATCGCCCGCCGCCCCTCGAGCCGATTCGGCGACTTCCGGCGTGCAGCGGCTGCCATCGGGCCAGAGTGATCAGCGACAACTGTCACGACGCGACTCTGCGCCGTGCCCGCCTTAGAATGGGTTGCTAGGCGCCGGTGCCAGGTCGCTCGGGCTTGCCGAAGCTACAGGCCATGCGCACTTTTCAGAAGTAGTTCGAGATACCCTAGGCCCATGCCCTTTGCAGTCCTGGAACCCCCGCGCGTGGCTCGACCGGGGAAATGCGCGCAGGGGGATCGAGGCAAGCTCGCCCTTCGGTCATGAACGGCCAGGAGCATCAAGCACGAAGGCATCTGCTGAGAAATCCACGGAGCCACTGCGTAAACGGGACTTGCCGCAACGCTATGCCCACGTTCACGGCGCCCCCCAGGCAAGCAGCAGCGTCGACAACGACCGCGCAGAGGCGCTGCTCACATGTGCAGCACCGAGTCCAAAACCAATCATTGACGCAATCGACTTCAGGGAAGACTGGATTGCCCTGCAACCCTGCCCAGAGGACATGGGGCTCCACGAGTTCGCCCGGGCAGCGCAGGAGGTCGCAAAGTTTTTGGCAGTGGGCCCAGTCAATTATTCCATCTATGCAGATGCAGCGGCACCTTCAAACATGGAAGCACATGGCTGACCCCATCGCACAAGTATCACGGGGTGAAGGCGAGTTTCATTTTCATGAACAGATTGGACATGCAATGCGAGATAGCGTCAACATGAACATGAATTATGCGCGACTTGTCTCAACGCAAGTTGGACCATTGTTTGGACATTGCTTCTCTTATTGCAGCTGGATGCAGACGTCAATGCCAGCATATTCACCGACCCCCAGGGCGCAATCGACTTATCAGCCAGGGCAGTGCGAAGGAAGACCCGATATCAATTTTGGCAATGGGCGTATCTGATGCAGTGCAGCGTAATCGTGCAGTTCCAATTCGGCATGTAAAGGGGCATGTTGGGCAATTATGGAATGACTTGTGTGACTCGATAGCAAGGTACCATGCCGAGAATTTCCAGGGCATAGTTGAGGTCATCGATCTAACCTCTAACCAGATCGGCCACGCCGCCGGCCAACTGCGCCAAGGAGCTGCACGTCGCGGAGTTCTTGTACTGGGCGACCGTGAGGGGCCGCATATATTAAGACAGGCGCGCATGCCCCTAAGCAAGTGAACATGGGCCATGCTACCGACGCCGTGTATTGCGAGCCCGGGAAGACGTCGCCATCGTGTCTCCAGCGCCCGATGCCACCGGCGCCATCGGCATCAAATGAGGCCCGAGCCCCCCCCAGAAAGCAAAGACTACGATCGGCTTCAACTTGGCCGCCGACAGCGTTCAGCGCACAGCTGTCGACGCCGACGTGGACAAGGCATGCGCCCCGAGAGAGATTCGGCAGGGTGACCAAGACCCCCAAAGAGGATCGAGGCCGAATCGCGCGTCTTCGGTTTCGGGGGGGGCGCGTTCATATTGCAGGCATCCAAGAGACCGCCGCGACAGAGGAATGCGCTCACCTCGACCATTGCATGCAGTTCAGCGCCAGCAGAGACCCGAACGCGACGCATGTGGATCAAAACTTGGAGTATCGCTCTTGATGGCCACGAACCTACCATGCTCTGCCGGCGACATCGAGGGGCACTCCTTCAAGGAGGATCAAGTCCGCATCGTACATCGAGGAGATCGGGCCCTCATCGCGATCGTCCGTTCCCCGATATTGCACGAAGCCGATCACGTTTGGCGCGCGCCGCGTCGCGCCCAGGGGGGCAATGAGAGGGCGTCGAGCATGGTGGGCCCAAGCCAATCATTTGAGCGCAAAGTGGCCGCCTACAGTCGTCTTGGCAGTCGCCGGCGCCGCTTTCAACTCAGCCGAATCATGTGGAGTTGGACCAATGGCGCGCGACCTGGGCAACGAAGACGACGTTGCGCTGCGCGCGAGAGAGTTCGCGAAGATG